TTCTTCATGATTTTTAAGGAGACAAAAAATAATTGTTCTTTTATTTTAATCTTAGATTAAAATTATTTATAACTACATAAGTTAGTTTAACATCATTTTTCTCATGTGCATTATTTTGTTTAAATAGATTTAATACTTATTTTACTTATATACAGATGTTAATTCAAATATATAATCAATCTAATTAATTTAACAATGAATGACTACAACAATAAATAACCAATGCATAATGATACTCAATCTAGCACGTAGGACTCATATTTTTCAGAGTGTTAAATAGCGTATATGTCTCATGCAGTGTGTACATGCATTTTAGTATCTACCAGGTATCACTGCTTTCATCTTAAAACTAATAAATAATTATCCACTCACCTCAGCCCAGATGCCAAATCTGAAACAAAATATAAATAATATTGTATAAATACAGTTGTGGTTTAAAATATTTTCTTCTCACATAACAAATATTAGTTATACGACATACAAATGCAATTCATAATACATACTATTAGGGACAAAAATGCAATGTAAATTTTGATATTTATAAACAATTATTATCAGTATGATTTTGCGTCCAAGTACTTAACATGTACGGAGTGGCAGTGTAAAAACATAAGCAGGGACGTAATCACGATAAAGAAATTTCCCCCAATATAAAAACTAGTTGACAAATTTGAGTGGTCTATGCCCTCTACTTTGCAACACCTACTATACCAATAGTTATACAAATACATTTAAAAATAATAACTACACATTTAAACACAACCATTTCCATTTTGACAATCATAATTATTATAATTACCTACATATTATGTAGTGTTCATAATAATAAAAACATGCAGGTACCTATCCTGACAAAGTTAGTTTGTTAGGGAGTGCTTAATCTATCGACCTCGCTATAGACATGACCCAACCTTTATTATGCCTATGGAAAAAATAAAGTAATAATGATAAGTGTATTTTGTGTTTAATAAATTGTACGTAGCTACTACTAATATACTGACTCATAAATTGTTAATTTACTTTCTGTTCATCGGAATAAATACATTTTAGAATGGCAAAATTATTCAGAAATTTGTAACAAGGTTCTTAGTTAATCATGCTGGTAAAAAAAAACCAAAAAATAAAGTTAACCGTACATTTTTTTTTTTTTTTTTGTAAATTCAAATTTATTAACAAAAACACAAAAAATTTAAAGTTATATTGTATTTATTTACAATTATATACATTTTAAATTCTGAGTAGAATGTATTAGTTTTACAATCATATTTATTTTAATTTTTATTTATTTTTTTTTTTACTTGAATTTATCAATAAGTAGATGAGTTATAAACATAATTATACTCTATATAATATGCTACCTTTCCTACTTCACACCTACAACAATGGAAGTTTTTAGATATCAATAAGATTGTTTTCTATAAAAAAATTAAAATCTATGTATAGCTAAGACAATTTTATTTGAACGCATAAGAAAAAACTAATCCTGAAAAGTTACATAAAAAGCATAATATGTAAAGAGCTGATACTGGAGACGGATGTAACCTGATACTGGATGCAGGTGCTGTTGTAGGTGAGAAGTTGGAAAGGAAGAATATATAAATTTATTTTTATTTATATCTATACGCAAAGATAAACCATTGTTAACGAAAAAAGGATTCGGAACAAAGTTTCAATAATACATATTTTGAAAAGACTGTTATAAAAAATAAAATACTGTAGAATGTAAATACATAACAGTTAATTTTTTTTTTTTTTGATCTCCAAGTACGACTTATAGTGAACCTCTTGTCATATTTTCAAGCATTCTACTTAATCCTATAATTTTATCAATAAAGTGTATACTAAATAAAAAAAAAAGTAAAAAACTCGCAAAATTAAAATGTCTATAAATAACTCAAAAATGGCCCAAATATTGTGAACATTTTACCACGTCTAAAAAAAAAATATATAAGTTGTCTGTCAACATTTTCAGGCCTGTAAAATTTTAATTTTAAATTTTAAAAACAAAAAACAGAACTTTCTACGTATTTTTCGGTTCTGTTCAATTATTAAAAAAAAAACTATACAAAAAATCAAAAAACAACATTCTTGGTCACCAACCAGATTAAAAATTTAACAAAAATACACCTCTTGTTGTTTTTCTATTGGTGCAATATTTATGATAGAAAACATATGCTGCAAAAATTTAAAAACAATGAAAACGGTAACGCCTGGACGCACCGTAAACATTTGCCGTTCTACCTATAGTTTTCTTTCCGGTTTATATATTCTACAGGTATATAGCTACTTTATAGTAGCTTTGTCATTTATTTATTAATTATCGGTGACTACGGGAGAAATTTAACTGCGCGTGAACGAAAATAATACAGCGCTGGAGCAATCGAAATATTTCGAAAGCGAACCGAAAAGTTAAGGTCGCGCGCTAAAACGTAGGCATCTAGCGAGAGCGAATATTGTTTTTATTGAATCCGTTTCAAGACGAAAATAAATTAATACGTGTTGGCGGACGGTTTGACAAAATATTATTATGTCTGGTGGGAAGAATGATATCCGACAGTCCTCCCGAGTATCAATTGATAATTCCGACACGAACACTCGCGTTCGCTGCATGCCGGTCCCCGAGCGCTGGTGACGAGGTGACGCGAGAAAAGTACTGACCGTTAAGCCGCGCTCCCGTGACCGGTGTGCACGCCAAATACGCCAATAATTGAACATTTGACCGGTAAAACGATTTTAGGGTGTTCGCACGACTGCCGTACTTGACGTGGTGCGTAGTAACTATTTTTGAAATTGATGTAACTAAAAAAAACAAATTGTGTATTAAACGATGAGAAAAAAAAATGATATAATAATATAATACTAACGTTCAGATTATACTGCGGAGCGAGAACATTTTTATCGTTTCAGTTTTATAACTCCACGAGTTGGAAATTAGTTAGTCTACGACACCTCCCCCCCCCTCACATAGATATTTTGTCAGGACGGCCCTGACTGTCGATCGGCATCACGGCGGCGGCGGCGGCGGCGGACGAAAAGTGTGCACGAATTTGAATCCGTCAGCCGCGGCGCAATAGCTAGGAAAATTGTACAGTCGTACCGCAAGTCAATCGGAAAAACGCGAACTTCAAAAACGCATCGCAATAATATCGTATAAATAGACACAAACGGACGGTGAAAGTTGGCCAGACTGGTCATCGTCGGCCGACGGGAACGGCTTTTACCACTGCGGGTACCTGGTAGATACCGGCGGACGTCGGCGTAACTACGGAGAAATTCCGGACAAGGCCTCGCGAATGAGCGTCTATACCTATGCTGTTTCCATCCCATCGGGGAATATTGAAATAAAAATCTCGGGAAATTGCCGTAATCGGTGAACTAGCCGGGGAACTAGGGGGCTATATCCCCCTGAAATATAGATTTCATATACCTAATGAGCCGGTCTTAACACTGTTGTTGTATTAAGACACACTGTAAGTGGCTATCGCTTGCGTGTGTAATAAGCCACAATATGATGTTCTCGTTCGCTCTCTCGCGTTCACGGCTTGCAATCGTGCAAACCTCGTGTCCTCGTGTATTCTCTTTATAAATATAGCTGAAACTGAGCCCACTGTATTGCAGCAAGCTTCACACTGCAACATCACCTCAATTTGTTGGAAAATTAGTTCACTAAATGCAAAATAAAAATTAACTCGTCCAAATTATGGTACACCGCATTTTTTCTTCGCCCAAATAACTGTCCTTCCAATCAAACTTTACACAGTGCCGTAGAAACCGCGGTGCGGACGGTTTATTGCACCAGAGCCTCACGCTTCAAGTTCTTGTATGGGGCCCATGCTTAAAATCATTCACGTATTAAGTACCTATAATAACTATTTTTTTAATAAAATCATATTTTGATAAGTTTAATTTACACGATATAGGTAGGTATCATCTTTTAGCACATTCCGATCTAGTATCAACATGATTTTGTTTTACACATCTATAACTTGTGATTTTCACGGTGGGACATCAATATTTTATAAAGACCAAAGACACTCATTCGAAACGATGAAATGTTATCGATAAATGATCATACCATTTGTTGATCCAAGTGGGGGCCCAAAACCCGCCAACCCGGTTATTATATTATAATTAGGTACCTTACCCGCTCGAATTGGAAAATTGAAAGAAAAGAAATTTTAACAGAAATTAAACAAACAGCGGTCCAACTGAACAATTATTTAACACAAACCCGTATGGGGACTTCACCTCCCCTCCCCCCCTTAATTACTAACACTATATTTTAAATTAAATTATTTTTAACATTAAATATATATTACTTTTAACTAATAGAGTTAATTATTTGTACACTTTTAATCATTTAAAACTCTCAATTTTTTTCCTACCTGTATTATAGTGGTTTTTTCATCTTACACAATTGAGTAGGTATTGTCACAACTAAACACAATCTAATTATTTAAATAGTTACGTACACAGATTAACTATATAAAGTTAAGAATAAATCAAGTTGAAAGTAAAACCCTTCAATAAAGAATGAACTTCGTTTTTTCTAAATTATAATACACACCCGGATGCCAGACAACAGATAAATATTAATACTTGTTAAATACTATAGTAGACATCGTCGATTCAATACTTTTTTGTGACAAAATATTTTTAAATATCCATGGATGTGGATACCGTAGTTCGATACTGTTGCTTTTCTGCATAGAGTAATTACTCTATATTTTTCCATTATTATTTTGTTGATAACAAAATTAAATTCGTTATCAAACTATTACAATTTTGACAAAAAAAAAAAATTGTCTCATTACGAGTTGGGCATACTTACCTAGTTAATATTTGAAAACAATATTTCGTTGACCTTTAAATTAAGTACCCATGCGTTATTTTAAGAAAATGTAGTATGAGAACGCTAATGAAAATCAAAATATTAAGTTTAGGAGCTGAGTTGCCATGCCTCCTCCCCCCAATTCGTGCACTGCTTACCTATATTATGCATTTATATTTATACTTGTAATATATTGTAAATAAATGTATAGTCAATAGAACAATTTCAAGGTGATACACTGATGTCTAATATGCTGATACTTATTGTTTTTAGATTCTGAGCGGAGCGTGTATTGGTTTTATAGCAGTATTTATTTTATATTATTATTTTTTTTAATCAGTGAACAACTTTTCTGTCAGAAATTTTTTCTCTGATTTCCAAGTGTACCACTTTTTCTGAATAGAAAATCTATCTATTGCATACAACTTACACTTATAAGAGTATAAGTATGCTACATATGTTTAACAGTACTTATACTTACTAAGAAGTATATGTTTAATACATAGTGATCGGGTAAAAAAAAAATTACATTATAAACTAAAATGTTTATAATGCATTATAACAAGCATTTTATTATTTTAAGTAAATATGTTTTTTTTTAATGGTAAACACTGAATGAAAAAAATTAATATAAACAATCAATACAATTTATTATACTTCCAAATCAACATTCATCATTTTTTTTTTTAAATTATAACTATTTATCAATAAGAAGTCTTCAATTCTCTATTAAAATCAATCACCTAATTCATTAATTTTTAAATATTCTCGTCGTTTTTCTAAAATAAAAATTGTTGTAAAAAATCAGATTTATAATTTTATTAATTTATTATATTTTAATATATATCTAATAATATTGTATGATTTATATTTATTTAAGAAAAAGGCAATGGACTTCAATCAATCATTTGCATATTTGTTTTTCAGTTGTAAAAAGGCCAATTTGAAATAATATAGTGTTTCATGTTCAATAAATCTATAATATTATGTTTCATATTATGGTATTTTTACTTTTTGAGAAATATGTAGGTTTTTTAATAGCTTTTTCTGGCTTATTTTTAACAACTTCTTAAAATAACATTAATTAAAATAATAATTTATCAACATATTAAAAATAGTATTTTTTATTGGTCATGAACTCACACTGTTTAGGTAAAATTAAATTACATAGGTAATTGTATTTCATAATTTAGATATTTTTTTAATAAACTGCTAAAACAAAAATGTGTTCACTTATTTTTAGTGGATAATTTTAGGGTTTTAAGTGCATAGATAATAGCATATTTATTGCTTTTTTAGAAATACATGTCCTCTGCCCTATTTATGAATATGAATAATTTTAGTATTATGATGTAATCTAGTAAATTTTATAGTTAGAATTAATTATAAGTTATTGCTGACCTTTTTCTTTTCATCCACAATTTATGCAATCTACACTTTCTTTAAATGCATTTAAGTACAAATTGATAAGAAAATTTACAATTATAAAAATGTACAAATACAATATAATAATCAAAACTCATTTTTAATATCAAAAAACTGGGACTCATAATGTTTATGCTAAAGGATGTATCAATGTTGGATAACTTTTAGACTAAAGAATTATAAAAATTACTTTATCATATTAAGTACAAATTACAATACCTACAATTATTATATTTTAATTTTATTTCATCTTTATCATATTTGTAAAAATACTTACTGAATAATACATTTTAATATTTTTAATTTGAATATACTTTTTTGAGAAAGTATACACAAATTTTGAATTATAGAAATAATTGATCAAAGAAAATTATATCATAACTGAAAAATAGTATTCACATAATCAGGCAGGTAAAATATATTGATCTAAACCACCTAGACACATATCAAAATTACCCATGGGTGAACATACACAGGCAAATGCTTAAATCATCTTTATAAACATTTGCACAATAATATAATTACAAACAGTGTTACTCATAGCAACAATCATAGGACAAACAAAACAGATTTTTTATTTTATTGTTTTTTTATTAGGCATATATTTGTACATGCTCATCTCTTTACCCTAACTGGTTTCAAATCGCAAAATTAAAATTAAAAAGTAATATAATGTAAATGTAAAAAATTCAGAGAAAACAAGTAAAAATCAAGTTTTCTTCTTCTATTAAGAACTTAACGAGGAGTAAATTGTATTATGAACAAAAAATTTAAAAAAAAACACTCAACTACATAAAACCTGTCATTAAAAAAAAAAAATATATATATATAAAAGTAAGATAAAATACTTGATTGTAAGTCTATGTACAAAAATTATGTTCTCTAGGCAATTATAAAAAGTGCAAAAATGTTCAAAATATCTTTTACACAGTTGTGACCGATAGTTGAATATTAGACATCTGTCATAATGAATATTAAAAGTGAATTCCGCAAAAAAAAAAAAAAATGTATAGTATTAGTAGCTGTTTAACTTCCCATAAAATCGATAAAATATACAATATATATTATTCAAAAATTATGAAAATATAAAATTTTACTATACAATTAGGTACATTAAGTACAATGCAAAACTAAAAAATTATTTTTCAGTATTTAAAAATAAATATTAATACTAAATATATTAAATCTATGTCGAGGAAAAATAGCAATAAGTTTTCATTTACTGAAAATACAAAATATAAATAATAGCAACTAGGTTACTGAAATAATAATAATGACCTAATAACCTATAACCTAATTAATATATTTAATCTTATGATTATCCATTGAAATTGTAACCTTCATCACTTTTTTAGGTTTTACGAATGTATGGGTTTTATAAATGCAATAGTAAAGATAATATTTCAACAGGTTATAAGGAAACTAATGTACTGATAGAAAAATATTACAATTATTTTAATATTATTTAATATAAAAAGGAAAAAAAATATAATTATGAGTGTAATAAGAAAAATAATAAACTCCCCGTTGGTTCCAAAATTACCTGGAGCTTACAAGTATTATTGAACTTTACAGTGAATTTTAAAAATAAATTTGTATAAAAAAAAAAAACATAATTTTATTTTTATAATTATAGTCAGGCGGTGCAGGTGGGCAATGTATTGTATGTGTCTGGTTCATTAGGCCTAGATGAGAAGACGTTGAAACCGGTCGAGGGTGGAGCTGCTGCCGAGGCTAAACAATCGCTAAAAAACATCCAGGCGATACTTAATCATGCTGGTACTTCATTCAATAAAGGTAAGAGAAAAAACAGTAATTTCACATTATCAACAATGTAAAAAAAAAATATTATTACTTTTTTTTAAGACCTAAAATAGCCTAAACAAATATATCTGCATTATAATTAAAAAATAAAATCAATAAAAGAATTTAAACATTTTTAATTGATATATTCATATAAGGTACTACTTATCTATTAATTAAAAAAGTTTAATTAAATTTTTGCACTTTAAATATTTCTAATTTTTATCCTATCCTGGTTAAGTTTAAATAATAAAAATATTCAGTTTTAAAACATTGTAGGGTGGGGTCACCATCTATAGCCACCTAAAAAAATTGTTTACACTTATCTCTGTTATTTTGTCCACGGTTATCAAAATCAATTGAAAATGTAACTTTGTATACTCTTTTTTTAAGACTAGATCAATACTTGATTAATAATGCATAAGATGTAATTTTTACTTTTTTAAAAGTTCATTTTCACTTTTTATGGCCATCCTATGCTACCATGTATGTAATAATTAATATTACCCAATAAATGAATTTATGTATATGAATAAAACAATTACCATATGGAATATCAAATTAGAAGATTATGCTATTAACAAATAAAATACAAAGTCATGGTCATAACAGGGATACTGTTAATAGGTGGTGACTCAACCCTATTATATTATTTAACTATTTGAAAACAAATTTTTATAATTTTTGTTAAGGTATATTATTATTACAAATAAAAATATCTAAATTACATTGTATTAAAATGCTTTTAAAGGTGCATATGATATAATCTAATTTACTAGTTTAGTAATTTATTAAATATTGACTCAAAAAATCAAATTATGGCAGAAGATTAAACAATATACCAACCATCCCTAATATTTTTAGAAATATGTTTATGATACATAATGGAAAAAAAAATGGTTTATACATTTTTTAATGATACACACAACTCTTGACCTAAGAATCGATATTATTTAATATATTATATTTTCAACTGAAAGGAATTATTATATAAAAGTACAAAACAGAAGAGACTATGAAATTTTTATAATAAGTTTTATTTAAAATCAAAACATACCAAGTATTAAAATGTGTATTTATCATTTTCGTTAAATGGATTAACGAAATAGTTATCTCTAGATGACTTTAATGACAATCAGACACAGTAAAATGGAAAGAAAACTGCTTAAGATAAAATATTTGATAGTTTTTAATTTTAATTTTTTTTTTTTAATGTTTTTGTTTTGTTTTTTTATATAAGTATATATATATATAAAAAAAATTGAATCGTTTTGAACGTTGTAATTTCACTCGTTTCAAAGTAACTACTCACAGATACAAAGCAGATCTACAGCAGATCAGCCACGTTCTGTGGCATCTCGAGCACGTGAGTATTGTAAAACGATTCTATGTCCTTCATGGCCCTCTTATCGTCATCGGTGATGAAATTGATGGCAACACCCTTACGACCAAAACGGCCAGAACGCCCAATCCTATGAATATAGTTTTCGCGGTTTGACGGCAAATCATAGTTGATAACTAGTGACACTTGTTGTACATCAATGCCCCGGGCCAACAGATCAGTAGTTATCAATACACGACTAGAGCCGGAACGGAATTGTCGCATAATCAACTCACGTTGACGTTGGTCCATTTCTCCATGCATAGCAGACACTGTAAATGTTTTCAAACGCATATTTTCAGTCAACCACTCCACCTTACGACGTGTGTTACAAAATATCACAGCTTGGGTGATACTAAGAGTGTCGTATAAATCACACAAAGTTTCAAATTTCCATTCTTCCTTAGTTACATTGATGTAAAACTGTTTGATACCTAATTAAACAATTTATAAAAACATATTAATGAAAGAACATTCATAGATATATCATGATAAACACATACCTTCCAACGTTAGTTCTTCTTTTTGCACAAGAATACGTACAGGATTACGCATGAAATGAGTACTAACATCCAATACATCTTCAGGCATAGTAGCCGACAACAGAATAACCTGAATATCTTCTTCGAGGAACTTGAATACCTCTTTAATTTGATCTTTGAAACCACGAGACAACATTTCGTCAGCTTCATCCAATACGAAAATCTTAATGAATTGTGTGCGGAGCGACTTTCTAGCAATCATGTCATAAACACGGCCAGGAGTGCCTACCACTACATGGGATCCAGTATCCAACTTACGCATATCATCACGAACATTCGTTCCACCAATACAAGCATGGCAATCAGCCTTCATAAAATCACCCAAGGCAATGACCACCTGAAAAAATAGTTCAGATATAATATAAATATTTATTAACGTGTTAATTATAATATGTTTACCTTTTGGATCTGCTGGGCCAACTCACGTGTAGGTGCCAAAATAAGAGCTTGGCACTCATTCAAATTAGTATCGATTTGTTGCAAAATAGAAATTGAGAAAGTAGCAGTCTTGCCGGTACCAGATTGGGCCTGAGCGATAACATCAAGTCCCTTGATGCATGGCAAAATGGCACGCTGTTGAATAGCCGATGGCTTTTCGAAACCATATCCATAAATACCACGTAATAATTCTTCTTTCAAATTCATCTCATCAAAATTATCCACAACTTCCTTCCAGTCAGACTCAATTGTGCCGCCGACATCCATGCCGGGTGGTCCAGAGTAGTCATTCGTTTCGTTAGACGGTCCATTTTTCGTCTCATTTGCATTCATTATTTAAAATATTCTGAAATCGCAATTTTGAAATTTAATGATTTCCCAAAATATGATTATTATTAAGCCTAACCAAATTAATTTTAAATATATTTAACTTTATCTTCAACTTAAATTTAACAGTAGAAAATAGATGATTCAACTATTCATTATTTCGTAAAAAATAAAAATAAAACCAATTTTTTAGAACCAAAAAGTCAAAATAAACGATATTGAGTACCTTATTTTTTAAATATAATAAACAGAAAATGTAATACCACCAATATACATTATTTTAAAATGAAAATAACAGAGTATAAAATAATTGTCGGTATTACATGTTGATTATAGGTACCTAGTTAGTAAAAATTGAATTAATATTTACATAGTATATAGGTATATATAATCTGTTTTATTAAATAATAATTTAAATAGGTATACATCAAGCCTTTGATTATAATAAACTAATAAACTGATTTGTCTATAACAAAATAAAAATTTGAACAATACCCAGTTATAAAATAATTGTATAACTGTGTCAATACATAACTATCATATCTAACATACTATAATTGATTTTCATTTAAATATACACTATTTAAAATAATTTTCATGATTTGTGCATTTATACATTTTCATAAATAAAACTAAATTTGTTACATATCAATTATACAAAAAATATTATTACTAACTCAATCATTTAAAAAATATAAAAAAAACATATAAATTTGTTTTTGTTATACTGGCCTATAATCTGTTATATATCGAAAACTTGAAATTGTAAAAAAGTAATTTTTAAAGAGGGAATCCAAATTTCAAGATTTATATAGCTACTAACATAAATGCAAGAGGATGACACAGTAGCAATTGTCATTTTTTTAGAGGATAATATAGCAAAATATATATTTTTGTGAGTTCCAACAGTACTATTATTTTGCTAATTTGATAACCATAGACAGATTTTTTGATATTTTAAAACCAGAAAATCTGGCAGTGATGATGTCATATGTGATGTACCAAAATATGTGATCCATCTGTAACCCCAAAATTGATAAGTATGTAGTACAATATACTTAACTATTTAATTATAATATTATCCAATTAATAGGTCCACAGTTTTATAATTATTTATTAGATAAAATAGAATGTATTTTATAAGGGAATGGAGGATGTACGGTTGTAGAATTTGGAAGTCAATTTTTTATTTTTAAAATAAATATAACAATTGGATATTTTCATCAAAATATTATTTATGACTAGAATGGGCTGGAATTTCTATGCAAAAAGAAATTGTAAAATATGCAAAAACAAATTTTTTATAAATAGTACTATTATTAAAACTGCTAAAATTATTAAATATGGTCCGTACATTTACTCAACACTTGTCATACTACGAATGAAGTGAAATACTTCTGTACTGTCTCACAATATACCTATGTTGTTAAATAATGTGTAGGTAATCCTATCGGTCGTCTAAGATTTAGATAGGTAGTATATTTATGACAATTCGACAAATAACCAAATAATTATTGATTTTCATTAAATAAATACAATTTAAAATTAACAAGATTATCAAAAATTATATACATTATGTTCAAAATATGCAAAAAAAAAAAAATGTTACATTTCATCGAGAATAAGCTAAATCGTGGAAATATTTAACAACCAACCAATTTGGACTTAAGGAAAAAACATGCAAATGCATAGGAATCCTAGCCCTATTTATGACAAAGCAAAATGTGTTAATTATTTCTTTAAAATTAATTTGACGTGTGATTAAGTAAATTATCTGTGGTGGGCTTAAAGAAACTACAAGAACAATTAAAAAAAGAAAATCCTCTTTGAAAAAAATAATAAAATTATAATATTTTTTGAAAGACAATGAAACAATTTGTATTGGATTTATTACACCAGCTGTATCATTCTAACTCCAAAAATATATATTTGCTACATTTCCACTTAGAAAAACGATGAATGCGACTATAACATCCAATTAAAAATTAAAAATTGACTAATTTTGCTAAAAAAAATTTATTTTTCAAGTAATATTATAAATATTTAAGTAGTGTCATTACTAAGAAGTACCAAACTTATTTTTAAAATGACCATAAAAATTAAATTTTGCTTAATATAAATGGTTGCAATATGTGTGTACCTAGTAATAAATATTTTAAAATAATTTATTGGTCGTGATTTTTTTACACATTATAACTAGGTAGGCAGTTCATTTAACTTAAAAATGTATTACAAATACTACATTCTGGACAATATATAATCAAAAAATAATTAAAACATCCAAGACCTAGAAGTTTACCTAGTAATTAAAATTGAATAACAACTTATTTTTATACTTAAAATTAATAATAAAAAATAAGCAAGATTAACAATAGCCTACAATGAGGATAAAATTGAAACCAACATTAAAAATAATAAAAAATGTAATGTTGTTCACAAATCGGATAGAACATTTATTTTGTTTGAAACGAATAAACGATCAGATACTTAGACAGATGAATATAAAAATATTGTAAAATAGGTACAATTAGTATATGTAATAAAAAATATCTAATAAATAGTTTCTAAAAAGTTAAGTCATGTAAAAGTAAATAGTACCTAACCTTAAAAAATATAATTATTTACAAAATTAAATTATAATTTTAGCATCGTAAAATTAGTAAAATCATATTTAAAAATACTTTATGAAAAAAAACTAAGTATATTAAAAACTTCAAGGTCAGGAATACAAAACTAATTTTTATATTTTTAAAAAAAGAAGACAAATGTAATTTAATGTATTTTTCTGATAGTAAAAATATTTTAGTTAGGTACCTACCTAAATCACAATTAAAAATATCAACACCTAATTCAAAAGACTTAAAACTTACAAACTAAATTAACTAATAGTTTAATGGAAAATACCTAACATGAGAAATAAACATTTCATAACCAGAAAGAAGTCATATTATTATTAGACTATAATATAAAATTAATAAACAAAAGATATGGGATGTAGAAATTCTAAATCTTCTAAATATTATTTTATTAAGAGTATAAATTTACAAAATTAGTTTTTTAACAGTGTGGCATGATTTTCATGAAAAAACAATTTGTTTTTAAATTTGTAATTAAAATAACTAGGTAATTATTTAGGTAGGTAATATTTAGGTGGAACAGAAAAGTTAATTTGCTGGTAATTTATCGTACTAAAAGTGAACTAATAACCAACTTTATTTTGTTGAAAAAACTTAACATAATTATAGTACTATATATTTTTAATATATTTAATTCATTGATTTTTTTTATTTATGATACAGCTTCAACTACTAAGTTACTAATATATACCTTAAAATGGTATAAAAAATAAGATAAAATAAGATTTTATTACATAACAGTTAGGTATTGTACAATTAAATTGATAATATTATTTTATAGATAAATAGTAGAATAAATAGAATACTTAGACTGGCTAAACACAACAATGTACAAGCATCCCCAATACCCTTAAGCAGGTTCTCCTTTAAGAGAAAAGGATATTAAAGAAAGTTAACTGAAAGATATAAAACCAACACCTTAACATAATGTAAGCTTTTAACTTTTTAAAAGTTAATTTACACCATTAGAACAAGAAAACTCTACAAACAGAATAACCTAGAAAATCACCCCAATGTATCCTTGTAAGGGTGCCGACCCAAAGGGCGATCCCCACGTGACGGACAACTTTTAGCAAGGGGTGCTATCACAGTAAAAAAAGACAAATTTACATCGACGACTTGTGGACAACCAACATTCGACGATGATGAAACGAAAACGAGCGGTCGTACGGCAGCAGTCTGTGATGTGGCTGTGGACGTCCACCATTAACCCACCACCGACCGAGCGAACAACACACAAACGCGATTACGGCAAATTATGCCGCACCGGCGTTAAAATATAAAAATGCAATTGTACTTACATAATTGAATTAACGATTATAGACGCAAAACGAAGAAATATATCTTAAAATGAAGACATTTTGACAATCGAACAAAGTAAAAAACGCGTAAAGTACATGTGATTTGCCGAGAGGAAATCGGAAGAGAGAACACCAGATAGGGAGAGAGACGGTGGATCGCGTACAATCGACGAGCGTTTGGTGAGGTTAGCGTACAGTGTGACCGCGCGTCACATAGAAAACGGCAAATCGATCATGGACGCGTGTGTTACACTCCATACTACAGCCGCCCACTCAACCCCTCCTATGCATTTTCGATCATGTACATATTTTAAATATTTCAAACACGTTGGCGACACTGCGCAGCGTGCGCGTCCGTCGGGGTTGTTGATAAACAATAATCGAAAACCTTCCGCTGCCGTCATGGGTGTCGGCGTGTCGCGTCGTTCGCTTTCGTATTTGTGTAATGGTGTGACTCGTTGTGACGCACCAATACCAGCAACGCGATCGGCTAAAGAATCGCGCCACTTTTATCACGCGCCAACGCGCCATGTTTAGTTTTATATTCTGACTACTACTATCGTCACTCGTGCACTTCACACCTGCTGTCAAAAATCATGATAATACTATAATATTAGCCATGGCCCATGGCCTATGATGCGTATTACTTATAACATAGGTACGTAGGTACCTACCAACAAAGGCATGGAATGTCTAACCTCTGATGCTATACCTACTATAAACCTATTCAGTATTCTCACGTTCGCCAACGTCGCACATACGAATCATAAAAATGTCCAAAAACTTAATAAATCACAATATTGTGTTATAACTTATAGTTTTTCGATATTCGTTACTTATATGTACGGATGGTGAATCTATGGGACTTTATTTTTATTAGTTCCATAAGAACAATCAAAACCGTTTTAAAAAATTTAAAAAAAAAAGAAAAAGACGTCAAGTGAAATTTAATGATCCGCCCGAATCTCGCCCGCTCTCGGATTAAATGAATAAAATATATACCTACTTAGTAACTAATCGTATTAATGTTTTTTATAAAATATTACACAAAATCAGATTAAGTATACAGTTGCAGTATACTACACACATATTGCGTAGGTATTTATTATTAAAATCAGTAAATGAAAAGAACATTTTTATCAAATTCGCGTAGGTATATCTGCTTTGCAATATTTCCAATTTCCAATATTACTATCTATTTGTAAAATATTACGCCATCGTTACAACAATATAATTATATGTAAATATGTAACCAACTGTATTTGAACTACCTACCAAATTGAAAAATAACGTATACAATATAATATACCTACTTAACCTATCTAATAATAATTTAGAATTACAATAATTAATTTGATTATTTGACTACACAAAACCAATATTTTACGAATCATTTTTTTTTTATCGTATTAATAATCGTAGTAATCGTTTTAAGTTCGGTATACCGTGTTTAGTGTTCGAATTGGGGGGGAAGAGAACGTTAAAGGTACCTAAATTAGTTTTTTAGTAATTTTATCGTATTTATATTTGTTTTAAATGTGACGGACGAACAAATCTTATGTACTCGACTTTTGTTTTAGCTCGGAGCGTACCCAGAAATTTATTGGTTTTACTATGGTGTTTATTTTAGATTTAGAGCTTAGTGAAGGATCTATTAATTTTACTGCGGTGTGTTTTTTTTCTATCTGTAAACAACTTTTCTACCAGAAATTTGTTCCGATACATACAACCTGAAAGGAAATTTTATCTAGTTAGTGCATTATAGAAGTCATTTTTTTTAATTTTCAAAGGGTTTTCAAAATAATTGGGAAAAACTGAAAAGAAAGTTATAGGTAGAAACGACAAATATTTTTACGGAACAACTTAGGGGTTACGGATTTCATATTGTATTGAAATTGTACGCTTTACGTTTTCTACCAGAAATATTGCTCCAATAGAAAAACAACAGAGATCTTTTTTGTTGCATTTTTAATCAAGTTGGTGGTCAAAAATGTAGTTTTTTGATTTTCTTTGAAATTGTTTAAAAATTAAGCAAAACCGAAAAAACATCTCCCAAGTATCAGCTTTTTTTTACCATTGATTTTAACTTTATGATACCACGTGTGTTGAATTGCCGAGCACTTTCGTTGCCCCAAAACAAATAATTTTATCCACAAAACATAAAATTAAATCGAAACTCAAAAATTTCTAAATCTCTAATTTTGTAAATGGTAAATTATAATCGTTTTTAACTACCCTTGTTGACCTTAGTACGCCTACCATGTCTGAAAATATTGGAATTTGATTTTAAAATCCCAAACTTAAACAAGCCGGTACCGTCACCGTGAAACCGTGTATTCATCGAGGAAACGGGAAACACGTATAACTCAGCACTCTCCCATCTAAACATACATACCTACCTTTGAACTATGGTGTATGCTAAATTATTAGACTACTTTGGGTTGTCAATTCCTTCGACTGAAAATAATGTATTTGAACACATGTACCTATTATTTTACGCATGTGCAACATAACTTCATTTTTTCCCTTGGAAACCCCTATAATATATTTTGAATTTCACACTCAAATTGTTCAAGTCGTTTTTATGTATTGACTCGTATTCAAAATCCAAAATTGACTGAACTGATCCGTTAAAATTTAAATTATTAATTCTATGTACCTATCATGTATTTATGATTGTAATGTTTTTGATTTGATGTTGAATAAATATATCTATCTACCTATTATGCATATTTTTATATGTTTGTAAAATAATTGTATTGTTTAATGTTTTCTAGTTGCTAAAACGACGGTGTTGCTGAGCGATATTAACAATGCCAAATTCGTGAATGAAGTCTACCAAGAATGTAATTATAATATAACCATTTAAATTAAATATTTCTAATAAGCTATACGCATAGCTTGTGTGTCCTCTTTTAAGTGAATATTTACAATTTGCATGCATACATTTAAAATTTAAGTTTAAGTGCAATATATGCGTACAAATCGGTTAGATATATCCGCCACTTTAATCGATACTAAAATCTGATCCACCGATAGACCGAAATACAGAGTGTCCTACAGTATTATATAGAGGTCGTGGGTTCAAACCCGTGTTTTTTAAACTGAATCGTTTTTTCGTTAGCAATGGTTTATCGTTGCTTATAGATGATATACATTAAATTACCTATAACAATGGCTGCGCCCGTCACTATTATCCTAAGACGTCTTTTTTGTTTTGATTCGGTTAAAGTATTTGTAAAGATTTGAAATTTGAAAAAAAGACTTATATTTACTTTTTCTATAACTTTTAAAACATTATAGCCATTTTTAAGCTATTTAAACATTTTAATTTTACGGGCTTTTTTTATTTAATTTTTGTTCGAGAGGTACTCTGTGAATAAAATTGTTCGACCAAATAGAAATACTAGACAATTTAACAGGGGGTTCATTATAAGTCGTACTTTTTGGAGTGTATAATGTAGATATTTTTTTTTATAAGAGTTTTATTATCAAAGTTTAAAGAAAGTAGTTTTAGTAAAAAATATTATTATATCAAATATATTCTAATGCATATTGTGTAGTTATTATCACATATATATATATATATTATTGATAAAGCAACACTATTAACCGAACTCTACTTAGAATCGTTTTTTGTTAGCAATAATTAATCGTTGCGTGCAGATACATTAAATTTTTCCTTTACCGTCCAACTTTCCGCTTATAATAGTGGCTCACCCATCGTGCGAAGTATATCCATCTTTTTGGTTTTAATTGAATTTTGTATCAGGAAGTTTCAAATATAAATAAAAATTAAATTGTTTCATTAAATTTGAGATACAAAACTCGATTTAAATTTTTTTTTTTTATTAAAAAAAAATTAATACTGACAAGTTATTATTAGAGCCCGGAATCATATGTATTTAAAATTTGTCAAATTAGATGCAATTATGCAAACAAAAGGTGGCTAAATATGCAATTATATATATTATATTATACTTAATAAAATACGTTTAAAAAATAAAACATCATTTTTACACCAAGAATAGTAATAAACATAGTAATATTTTATTATATATTATATTATTTGAAATCACATATCTGAAATCCTAACAATAAACTTTCAAAATATTAGAACTAAAATCACATGCTTTTTACCATACAAGATTTTAAAGTATAATGACACATCACATACGACAAGAATGACTAACGAATTCATAAAATACACCCTGTATATCAGTGACCATCAGGACTTTTAGTAGTAGTTTAACTAATAGTTGGATAAAAATATTAAATCAATATTTGAAACAAGCATTCCTTTTTAACTACCGGTGTTCAAATTACAATAAATTTATATAAGAAACGTAATCAAATTGTTGATAAAAAAAATTAAATAAAGATAACATAACAAATCAGTGAAAAAAAGTTTGTATGCATTATACACTACATCCATATACGATATCAAAATTATTGTACCTATAGTCAATACTGCAAATACAATATAAAATAATCCAAGATCCTGATATAAAACACGAAATTATCATGGGCCCCTGATAGACGTATAACTAATAATATGACTTTATGCAATTGAGAAATTTATTAATTTATTTATTTATTATTAATTTATATTTTATACAAAAATATTTTAAAAAATATAGTTAGTAATAATGTATATTATACTATAAATAATATTGAAAAAGAAACAAACAAAAACAAAACATACTTTGCAGTACGCACTATTGTAGGTGAGAAGTTAGGATAGAAGAAATTTAATATTCATAATCTAACGATTAATTTTTGCTAACGAAATTCGATTCTGAACAGAGTTACATGTATTTAAATATATACGATTTGAAAATAATACATTGAAATGTATTATTTTCCCGTTTCCTACATTTTTCCAATTTATTATGAAAACTCCTGAGAAAATCAAAAAATTACCTCCTTAAAATACTATCCCAGTCAAATTTACTTTCAGAAAAATGTTACATTTTAAAACCGGATAAAAGAATTCTGGTAGAATAATTATTTACAGAAAAAAAAAATTAAATATCACTATTTTAAAACCAATACCTAATATAATTTATACATTATTTGTTTTAAAATTGATAGTACTTATCTAATTTGTGTTTACAATAATTATTGAAAATTATCGATAGCACAATAATATTATTGTATGTATATAATATATACTTATGTATAATTATTGCGTTATATTATATTATCGTATAACATGTTTGGAACAATAAACCAAAGTAAATTTAATTATGTAGGTTTTATTTTTTTCGAAATGAGTTTTTAAAATATTATTTTATTAGATAACAATATTGACTTGAAATATATTACATTTTTCTATATCATTTTAGACCAAGGCCATAATAACAAAATTAAAGAATTTAACTGGTAAATGGTAGATATTTATCATGTTCTTTTTAAAATTCAGCGAAATTGGTATAATTTGACATATCAAAAATATCTTTTATTCTGTATTTTGAACACATTTTATGGAAAAAAAAAATACGGACATACATCGCACGATGGGTGGGCCACTAATTTTGGTAAGAAGTTGAGAAGGTAGGATTCGGACGATGAGACGCCCCATACATAAAACTGATTGCTCGACTGCTGTCGACTCGTGGACGTCCATCACTGTCAGTCCCGGTCGCGTTTTCATTCTCGAGAGTCGGCGCAGTAACCGGGTCCCATGCGGTCCGCGGAGGCGTTCGCGGTAATATATTTTTGTATTGGTCGACCAACGCCGTCGATAATACACCTATGGCTCATGGGATCCTGGTATAAAGTTGCCCTATTTGATGAACACTGCTCTAACCGCCGTCCACAAATTAATGCACACCTGTCACTAATTAATTTAATATCGCACCGGCAATTCCGGTGAATTTTCACCGTCCGATTTAAAACCGAAAACGCAATGAATGCAAACAAATTCATAAAATGGCATTTATCTAGCTATAATATAATATACGTCATCGTCATAATCGTGTGTCAGTCGTACCGAAAGTATCGCAATGACTCATTAACGCGATGACACGCACGATAACATGCGAATTATTACTAAAATATCGTAATTCTTGATCATGTATATGTACTATGAGTCAAAACGTCATCCGATGCCATCGCGTTTATTTTGAAAACGTTAAACGACATTTATAATAATAATAATAATAATAATAATAATAATAATGTGATAATAGCTTAGTTATATAATATATTTGTTAACTCAATCCGCGCATTTAAGGACACCCGAAATTACCAATACATATCAACAAAAAAAAAAATTGAAAGTTTCACATAGAGAATTAAAGAGTAATCTTTTAGATTCTGATCGTAGCATAGAATGTATTGGCTCTTTTAAATTTTTTTTTAACAACTTTTCTACCAGACATCTTACTCTAAACAATAACATAAACATTTTATTTATTGCAATTTGGTTGTAGTTGGTGCATTAAAGAAGTAATGTTTTGTGTTTCCAAGCAAATTTTTTATAATAAATGGGAAAAACCGGAGGAATATACGATATATATTATTTTCAAATCGTAACAATTATGGCCTTTCAAAACATATATAACCGAACTCAGCTCAGCGAATCATTTTTTGTTGGCAATGTTTAATTTTTACATTCAATTTCCTCTCTACCTTCTCAATTTATCACTTAAAACAAATGACCCACCCATCGTGCGAAGTATATCCGGTTTTTACGAATTTTGTTTTCTGCAAGAAATATTGAACCAATCGAAAAACGACAAGAAATTTTGGATATTATTGGTGAGTCAGCAGAAAGTAGTATTTTGTTTTTTTAACTAGCTTTTATTATTTTTAAAAAAAACCGGGGAAAATATCATTGTTTGACCAAACAGAAATGCTTGAAAGTTAACGGGAGGTTCATTACATTAGTTGCACATAGATGTAAAAAAAATATGTCATGTTATTTGTTTTATAATGATTTAAAGTAAAATTATGAAAATCGTAAATATTTACATAGGTATGGCTTTACAAATTATGTAACCTTAACAACTTCCCACCTGTAAAAGTGGCACATCCGTCCCAAGTATCAGTTCTTTTTTTATTATTTGAATTTTGTTGGTTTCTGAGTGACTTTGGCAAAAAGGGATAGAATACGATTATTATAGGTAAGTGAAAGTTTAGGTACTAGATAACTACATTACTACTCCAATCATTATTGAATCCAGACAAATGACAGGGTGGCGATAGTACTGGCTATGGTACCATAGCCAGAAAAGAAATTCGGAAAACTTAATTCAATAATTTGCATAAATGAAGAAATTTTTGAGGTGATTATATTATGATCTCTTCCTCTCTCCACCAGTGTGCATCATTGTGTACAGCATAAACCTAAATACAGGTACAATCCACCAACGGTTTTAATTATCCCAGTAGAAAATGGTTGCATTGTTTCTGTCAAATAATTTTATGTAGTTTATTATAATATTAAGAGTGAATTAACCTATTATCAAATTTAAAAGTAAAAATATTACATCTGTGTTTTACATTAATTTTTATTTATCTCAATATTGTAATTTTAGAACGAGATTCAAGTATTTTAGACTCCGATTGGAGCAAAGAAGCTTATGGCTTTACAAAAATATTTTTTTTTTTTATCTGTACGCAACTTTTCTACCAGAAAACTTGATTGGATTTCTACATGTAGTACCTTTCCTGAAAGGAAATCGGTGTGGGAAGGTAATTTAAATAGGATATTTTTCGATTTTCCCAACAAATGTGATAAACCGGTTTAAAACATGGGAGAACCAGGAAAAACGTAGGAAACTTGGGATAAGCGGTAAATCATTAAACAAATTTTATTAAAGAAAATATATAAAGCCTATTTAATTATTTTACTATCAAATAACATATACAACGTATTGTTGACAAATCATCACTATCAATTAAACTCTGCTCAGAATTGGTTTTGCATAGTAAGCAATTGCATCATTGCTTACAAATATATATTAAATTTCCGTCTATATCTTACCTTCCCAACTTCCTATCTACATTAATGGCTGCACCTGTCCCTATTATCTTACTATTTTATAATCATATCTTGCTTGAAAATCAAAATATTGAATAAAAGCAGGCAACCTAAAAATACAAATAATGTTATCACCTATAATTTGGCACTGATACTTATTAGGTACCTAGGTATATATTATCCATCTATATATGTACTTACTATAACAGATGTTATATTTGTTTTATAGTCATAAAAGAACCATATCCAGCTAGATCTACTTATCAAGTGGCTAAATTACCAATGGTAATAAATATTATTTAATTTGTACCTATTAAATACATTCAAAACGTTAAGCACATTGCAATAATATAACTATTAATATTTTATTCATGTATAATTTGCAGGACGCTCTTGTGGAAATCGAAGTCATTGCTATCATTTAATGTACCTATACAATTTTCATTTTTATTTTTGTATTTATAGATTATACTTTATATTTATACTAAGATTTATCAAGTTATTAATTAGGTACTTGAGATATTAAAATGTATAAATTGCACAATGTAGGAGTTAGCTACCCAGCCTACCATAATGAATTTATCATTAATAGGTAACCAATTTATGATTGGCTAGGAGTGGACTAGGTGTTTATCTTTGATGTAAAACTAAATAATTATTAATTTACCTATCTAAATGTGTAATTTATTAAAAAATATTTTTAAATAGTTATTTTTTTTCTTTCAATCTGTGTATAAAATTATAAATTAAGTTAATAAGATAAATTAAGAATTTAAGTACTTATGACATGACGTAGAATGAGGTAAATCAAGTTACATAATTAAAGTTTGGTACCTACTTATATAAAGGAAAACTGGTTATAGTAGTTAGTGGTTATAGTATGTGCCTATAATAAACAATTGATAATTTAAAAAAGAAACCAAGATTGTATTAAATGTTTAAAAATTTACTATATTAATTTATAGGTATTGTTGTAGGTTCAACATTTTTATCACTTATCACTTAATATATTAATATATTTTATTATATTTTTATAATCCTATATATATATAAATATATATATATTGCACAATAAAATTATAATCCAATTATCTTTTGAAAAACTCCCATCAAAATTTAAATTACAATAAAAAAAAAATAATAACTAAGAGTAAAAAAAAAAATGACATTAAACTCATTTCTAATATAATAATGAAATTTAACTGCTAACACTACTAATTATTTATAATTAAAAACTTAATGTCTAAATATAGGAAATAACATTTAGCATATTCATTTAATATTGTAACATATCATGAATATTTTGAGGTGTTTTAATCATGTAGGATTTAGTGTATGTTTCAATGATTGATTTAGTATAGAGTTCATTTTGATTTATAAGGTTTACCACTTTTTTTTGTTTTATACATTTTCCAATTCTGTTAAGGTAGCAAATAGGGTTTGAAGGCAAGTCGTAATTTATTATCCAATCTGCATGTTGAAATTGAACACCTTTTATTGGGTCGGTAGTTATAAGCATTTTAAAGCGATCTTTAGAAAACATTTTCAGTTTAACCTCACGATCACATGCACTCATTTCTAAATGAAAAAGTGTAACTGAATAATCTAATCTTATTAATGATTCAAAAAGTATCCGAGCTCTATCTAAAGTGTTACAAAAAATGATGACTTTCTGCATATTTAAAGTTGAATTGATATCACAAAAAGCATTCAATTTCCAGTCGTCTTCAATGGTTAAAAAAAACTGCTTTGGAAGGCCTATGGTAAAAAAGTAATTATTAAGAATTATATAAATACTATAAACCTTATATTATATTTATCAATTCCAATATTTCTTGAGTCTCACCCCCCCTCCCCCCAATTAGTATATGCATATATGCATAGAAAAGTAAGCTACAAAAAGTTTTAGAACAATCTATTAAGGTTAACACGTACCAACTTAAATTTAAAATTTGAGTACATTAATTCACTCGCAATTTAATGATATATTTCATATTTTTATGAATATCTCAGTTATATAAAGAAAAATTAAAATTTGTTACACAATATGTTTTAAATAAAATAAAATTTCTTATAAATTATATTCTTACATATTTCGTTTTATTTATTTTCATTTACAAGATATATTGACTTTGATGTATGAAAGTACTATTTTCTCAAAATTTTATTTTATTATAATGCATTCATTAAAATGGTTTTTTCAACATTTCCTTTTTATTGTCAAGGTATAGTCTTCTGTATTCTTAGATACAACGTAAGAGCAACTTAGACTTCTCATCATCTTTGATTTAACTCCCATGAAAATCTTCCACAAGTTTAACTGCTCTTTACGTTGTATAATTCACTACGTTTAAACGGACATACAATTTCTCTTTGTAGAAATAGTTTATATTTCATGTACTCGATCATCATTCAAAAAATTTGTATTAATACCAAATTGAAAAAAAAATGTATACTATTCTTAAATGTAAAGGAGGCCAGAGTTTTTTCTAAAAAAATGTTAACTATTGTTCTGTCAATAACCTTACAGTTTACATAATAGCTAAATAACAAAAACGTATATATCTGAAAAAATTTCGCCAAGGTCTTGAAATGAAACATTAAGATGCTTAGTTGGTTGAATATTTCCATCATTGTTAAATGACTGTACTATTAATCTTTTGAATTTGTTTAATGTTTTGTCAAAGAAAGCTAATGCTGCTCTCTTCTGATAAGTACCATAGATGATTACTTATTTTTTTTTATGGCGGCTTTTGAAATTTTACTGTTTATTTTCATATAGTTTTAAACATTTTATAAAATGTAAGTTGTTAGTCAGAGCTCTAGCTAATATAGTACAACTGAACCAAGCTTTTAAATACAACCTTACAATAAATACGCAATTATCACAAATAGCGGTTATTTCAGAAGATGTTAAATATTATTGCTTTGAAAAACACCAAGTTATTACTTATTTCATAAAAGTGGTGGTGACATGATAGGTAAAGTAAGTCTTATTCCAAGTTTTGCTCCAATAAAACGCAAGCACCATTCAAACGCCCTGTATTTGATGCAGTGGTATCACAGCATAGAGCTTGAACAATATGTGACACACCCCAATTATTTAATGTATAATAAACAGCATTAGCTTGTTTTGCCCTATTGATTAAATTTACATTCTTACTAATTATAAAAATTGATAATCTATCAATACTTGAGTCCCTGACATTTAACACCAGTAGTATTTTTCCATCCCAGTGTACAGTTTTTGGAGGAGGATTTTGAAATTTGGTTTTGATTTTATTGGCGCATTTAACTTGTAAAGCCTCATGACATCGATGTATAGATGATTTTATTTATAATTAGACTATCGACATTATGACCTAAAGCTTCAGCTGTTGCTTGAATAATATAAACTGATCTCTGTACACTTATTTTACATTGATCCAATGCAGCAACAAGCTTAGGCAAAATTAAATTTATGTGGCCCCTTTTATTTCCTGACAATAGTATACAACTACATTGTGTGTATTCAAAATTGGAACGATTTGAACAGTGATGATGGTAAAATTAAAGACATATTAGCTAATTGATTTTGAATTTCAGTTGGATTATAATTTGATATAGATGGGCATGAATTTAAGTTCTCTATTTCACTAAATTTATGTTTTTTGCTTTATTTTTTTATTCTGTAACTTTTTGATTATACCAACAAGACAACCAATTCGACCAAGAAGTTTTTAATTAATTAAAAACTGTTTGTCATTTACAATTTTTATTACATTTAAAACATTATTGCATGTGCAATTATCAAATAAATTTTCAAGTTTATTAATGAATTATGTTTTATTTAAAACATATTATACAATAAATTTAAGTTTTCCTTTAAGTAACTTAGATATTCATAAAAATGTAAAATATATCATTATATTATAAATTAATTAATGTACTCAAATTTAAAATTCAACCCTTAATAGATCGTTCTAAAACATTTTATAACTCACTTTTTTGTGTATATACACAAATTGAGGGGGGGTGAGACTGAAGAAATATTAAAATTGATAACTAAGGAACACCTTAATAAATACATATAGTTAAATTACAAAACAGGCTACATACAATTATATTTTTTAACATTTTTTTATAACATACTTTTATTAATATCATTTTCTTCTTGAACATCTTCATTAATAATAACTAGTGGATCACGAAGGGAATCCATAAATATGTCCAATACATGATCAAGTTTTTCTGATACAAGCAAAGTTACTTGCAGTTTGTTCTTGTCCATGTCTGCCAACATTCCTTTAATTAATTTAACATAGCCATCATTCATCAACATTTTGTCAACTTCGTTTATTACAACCGTTTGAATGCATTCAGTACGTATTGATTTGCGTGTAATCATTTTGTACACTTCTTCCGGTGTACCAACTATTACATGTGGGATAACAAATCTTTTTGGTAAACTGTCGCCACCAATACATACATTAACACCCGAGAAATCTCCAAAGCTCAATATAATCTACACAAACACATATAAAACAATAGTGTTGAAATAATCATAATCTGTTGTTAATAGCATACCTTTTGAATATATACAGCAACATCTCGTGTTGGTACTAATACTAAAGCTTGACAATCGCTTAATTTAGTTTTAATCCGTTGTAATAATGGTATGGTAAACATCATTGTTCTGCCAGTGCCCGATCCAGCAAAAACAATAATGTTTCGTCCATTCAAACTTTGAACAATAACTTTTTTTTGTAATTTAGTGGGTTCAGTATAACCAAGTGAGTAAATCCCACGTAAAACATGAATTTTTAAATTCATCCCATTAAAGCTATCGATGTTTATTTCTGAATTGTTTGCATTAGGTATTTTACAATTTTCCATTTTCTCAGTTAGTCCAGTGCAGCATTCATTAGTATTTGTAGTCTGTTAAAGAAACAGTAGGAATTAAAAATATTAAACATATTATATATATTTATTTTATACAGAAATAAATTCCATTATTATAATTATTATTTTAATGAGTAATTATAATAATGAGTACAAATATGTATTATTAATGAACAAAATTATGTTTATGTTATTATTGAATATAGCAATATATTATTTAAACCTCTTTTTCTTTCCTTTTTTTTTTTTGATAAATGGAGAACATAATATTATTTACATTTTTAAATTGTGCTTCTCAGTTATTTGAGAATTTACTCACTTCATCAACTTCCTCGTGTAATATTTTACATTGTTCCACTATATCATTTAACACATTTTTATCGACATTCACATTTTTCAAAGACTCGTTTGCTTTTTCATCAATCTAATATTTGTTAAAAATAAATGGTTATTATTGCTTAGAAAATAAACATGACAAGTGATTAAAACACTAAGCAATTAGTATAGTAATCAAAAATATGAGTATTAAAAATTAACTATTCAGAATTTAATTGAAAAAATAATGTTTAAATAGTTAAAATTATCAAATAAAAATAATTAAGAATTATGTGTTATTATAATTATAAAAATTATTATTATTTATTATTGTGTACAAAAAGCCATTAGATCTTAACCTATTAAACAATATGCATATAAACATTCAATTTTCTCAAAATATACTGACATTTAAACAATTAATTTCTCGTTTCAAGAACATTTATTGCTTTTAATAATTTACCAAATTATTAGCAATATCTGAATATGTATTCTTATGCAATTTTGATGTACTTACCTCATGATCTTGGCTACTATGATTATTAAAATTTGTTGAATCAATAGTTGCTAAATTTTTCACACTTAATTCTGCATTTTCCTACAAAATAAGTATTACAAATATAAAAGTTGTTTTATTAAATTAATTTTATAAAATATTTATTGATTAAATTAAAAAAATCATTAATACTTTAATAGAATCTTTTTCTTCATATTTCATTTGCAGTTCAAAATCTTTTTGATCAAGATTTTTTACAACACTTTCATGTTTACTTTGTACTTTATTCCTGTCTACTTCAGAAATAGTGGGCTCTTCGATGGCATTTTGTATTTGTGAATGGTTCTATAAACACAAAATATAAAATTAAAAAACTCAAACCAAGTTGTTTTACTATACTGACTTTATCTGTAAAATTTGATATCTCTTGATCAGTCACCACATCATATTGGTCCAAAAGTTGTACACAATCATCGGGGCTGCTTTCATTCACATCTGATACTGATTTAGGTAAGGTGGGGAAGAAGTAATCATATAATTTTTTAGTTGAAACCAAATCAGCATTAGTTTTGGTATTAGAATCAGTGGGCATTTTTGTTGAATTATGAAATTGTTTAATTTCACTGACTATATAATCATTATTTATTGGTCTCAAACCAATACATACCTGCGACTTATTTGTATTAGTTGTACTTTCCTTTAGTAATTTATTTTCCAAAACAGACTTTAAATATTTTAGGGGCTCAATTTCAGCACGTAGTCTTCCAATTGTGTTTTCTAACAAATTCAATTGTTTTTTTTTTTTTTCAAGTATAGATATTTTTTCTTTTAGTTCATTAACAGACAAGCATTCATTAAGAACAAAAACATGTTTTTCAAGTAATTCATTTTCAGCACGTAACTTTTTCAACTGTTGTAACAAATCCTCCTGATTTTTCAGTTCTGATTCCATCTTGAATACAATGTCTATTTTCTTATACGGTATATGAATATTCTGAAAAGTAGCAATATATATATATGAATTATATTTATTTCTAATTAACCATTAAGAGTACAGTATATAGTATATATGTAAGTGCATACTAATGTTTATTAATATATCGGGTAGGTGACTGTTGTAGGTGGGTGATTAGAAAGAAATACACAAAGTAAATAATATAAATACTGTCTGCAACAATAGATTAGAGAAATAAAAATATATGCAGACAACTTTTAAATATATGTATTAATTTACAACAGGATTACTTTCTAAATATGTTTTGTCTGAGTTTTTTTTTCAAAATAAAAAACAACTTAACAAGTGTTGTAAAATGTTTTATGGCAGTAATAATCTAAACTATTATTTTTAAAATTACCTATTTATTTTATTTCATTTAAAATAATATCTGTAATAAGTAAAAAATAATATACCTATTTTGTTTCATTAACTTTTTATTTCAACAGTTAATTATAAATTTTTTAAATAGGTATTCATTTATAAGGGGACTTTTTTTTCAATGTATGTTTTTTGGACTGAGGCTTTTTCCCCCAATTCTCTGTAACTGAATAATGTGTCCGTAAGACAGAATAGCACTCACACTAAGAAAACTTATGTGCATTATCTGAAAGAGAGCGTGCAAATAATATCAGTAGCGTTAAAATCAACACCACATGACTGCATGTTATCTGCAATATTGCTCTCCAAAGCAATGATAGAAAAAAGCTATTTGCTTACCACATATGGAAAAAACTAAATCCCAATATTATTATCTACAAAGTCTTTCCTAACCATCACACAAAAATCCTCTTTCAAATCAAGTAAAATCACAAAAACCTCTATGTGAATAGAAACTAACAAAAAAAAAAAGAACACAATTGTGCATAAAGGTGAAGTAATGACAAGAATAGTCTGATAATGTGAGAATAAACAGACAGCACCGAACCATCAAATATCCTCCCAGGGTTTAATTTCTATTTGTTTATTTATCTACTGTTTACCTAAGCCGAATCTATGTCATATGAAATAATAATAATAATAATAATCTCAAAAAGAACTACATAAGGTCTGGCCATTCACAAATGCAACACAACCATGTTCAAATCGGAATTGTCTGTCTCCCCATATTGTGACTACAGTTTTCCCGAGTGAAATGATGTGCTATATAGTTTTAATACATCACAATACACAAATGTCCAAATTCGAAAATTTTCAGACATAATGAAATACATTTTTAGTGTACCTACAGTGGCTGAGAGCTCTAGACACACGACTATGGTATAGTATAAATTACATATCTACGTTGTTAATGTTCAAAGCTGTTGTATGTTTCCTTACGAAAAATATAAAAACAAGTTCTATTACTAGGTAAAATATCTACGTACATGTAAAACAAAGTTCGATTTTAAAATGATTATTTTTTAAACATATTATGAACTTTGAAACACGGTTAAATTCAATGAAACAGAAATTAAATAAAAATTGTAATTTTATTAAAATACCTATTAGAATATAATAGATACTTACATAAATGTATATATTTCTCGGCAGTAGTACTCCAGAGCTAAAATAATGCGCTTTCAGGGTCGACAAGCAACAACTAACAACGAAAAACAAACGTTCGCTACGGCACAATCAATAGTAGTATAATAAGTGATTCGGTTGGTCATTCTACCACTAGAGGGGGGCCGGTTGTTTTGTTACTTGTTTTCGTGGAACAATAATATTTTTATTTTGTAAAGTGTACATAATACTTGCAGAGTGACCATAAACAATAACAGAATATATCGTACAATATTTTGTTTAATGGTAAATGTTTTTGTATGAATTTCGAACACGAATTATATACGGCGGGCATAGATATAGACACACATTTATGTGCGCGTTTGCTTATTTCCACGGCAATACGCCGTACAGTTGGGCGTGCGCACAGCACGTCACCTCCAACTGGCTCGGTCGCAGCGCAATCTAAGGCCGCTCGTGTTCGTCATGCATGACGCATGGCTGTTCAAACGTTTCGGAGGTAATGCGACTGTGGAACGTACCGAATTCCGACCGATTCGGCCCTTACTTTTTTTTTTACTGTTAAACGTGTTTATATTTCAGCATTAGTGTTGACACTGATGAACTGTCCGACCCAAACAAAGTATAATTTTCGGTACTCGGATAAAACGTGCAATTAAAACGACGAGATGTGAACAGAACAAATAATATAATACGCACGCGAACACACACACACAAAAAATGGACTTTAAGACGTCGTACAATTGTAACAATTACCATAGCGTTAATTATATCAAGTGACCTTCCGTCGCACGTATAATCTCCGTACCATAACATTATCAGTTATAACCACAGACAAACGCATTAATATTACACACGCTAAAACATTATATTATATTGTAACTCTTGGTCCAACTCGCTGACGATGAGATGCACCAGGATGGGGTTTGCCCTCGCCGTCACGCCCGGAGTCGTGTATAAAATGGCGAATGTAACTCCCGCACTCGGTCTCGGAACATCTTCTAAGACCGTGTACCCATATATTCTTACTGCATCGGTTATATTAATCGAGGCGTAACATTTGATCGAAATTCTTACTCCTCGGCATTCGGAAACGGCCGTTACGCCGCCGTATCGGCTCGTCAGGACCATTCGACAATGTACCGACTACCGATTCGCCGTTATATTCATTTCACCGCGAGACACCTTTTTTTTCCCGTTTAAACCTAACGCTATAACTCTGTTGTTTTTCAAGGCACCCGGGTGAGATTTCCACTAGTATATTATTTTAGTCTGTCAGGAGCACTTCGTATTAAAAGTGCCCGCCCACTTCTGATATTTGAAACGAGTATATTTCGGCGGGATTTGATGATAGGAGTTTCCACAACAACAGCAGTACAAGAACAGTGGTGATATGATAATATACTATAGGTACTTAATAATTATATCAAGTACTTATGTGTAATCTTCAAATGAAAATGCCATAACAGATAATAAATAAATAGGCCCACAAGACCACAACCGTTAATACACTTATGTTTCTTTAGGGCCAAGACGTGTCTAAAACTTTTTTATCATCATTTGAACACAACAGCGGCGACATGATAATATACTATAGGTACTTAATAATTATATCAAGTACCTATGTGTAATCTTCAAATGAAAATGCCATAAAAGATTATAAATAAATAGGCCCAGAAGACCACAACCGTTAATACACTTATGTTTCTTTAGTGCCGAGATCTGTATACAAATTTATTTTTATCATTTGAATACAAGAACAGTGGTGATTACCTATTTCAATGACCGTGATAAACAATGATTTCAAATTTCTCATCGAATATCACCGACATTCGGGCTGTGGTTCTATAACATACTTTAATTACTTTTATTTTGTATATTTTCGAAACGTAAAAGTTATTAGATTTGTCCAAAAACAAAAAAAAACAAAATGAAAACATTTAACAATAAGAATATTAATTATTTTCATAAGTGGGTATTTACACTGTACACAAAATGATTAAATAAATCCGTGCAGCTTATCGGCACTTCTAGGTATTGTCTAATAACTAATATAAATGTATCATAACGTGATAGGTATAGCTCGAATGCGGTCGGGCGAGCATTTAATTACGCACTAAATTCGGATGGAAAACATGATCGGCGGAAATCAGTTGTGTGCTTGCCGTATCTTTTAATTTAAATTTATTTTTAAATCAAATTGTGTTTCTGTGGTAGTTAACATTTATATTCACAATTGATTTTAGTTAACCAACCCGGTAGTCTTGGAAATATATCAGTAATCGAGATAACAGGGTTGATTACAGTATGACGGTAGTCTTGGAAATATATCAGTAATCGAGATAACAGGGTTGATTACAGTATGACGGTAGTCTTGGAAATGTGCGGATAGTCGAGATAACAGGAAAATACCTAATAAAATACAATTATTATTATATGAATAATCTTCGGGATTATAATAATATTCTGGGTAAATATTAATAATTTTAGCCGCATAAATATAGTATTTTGTTATTACTCATAAGACACAAATGTTTAGTAATTGATTTTAAATTACACACTATTATAGTTGTATTATCTTGGTATGTAGTCATAATACATTTAATTTGATTTTTTTTTTTTATTGATGACGTCTGTTTACTCTGAAGACCTTTACTAATTAAATCAAATATTTGTGTATAATAATATGCAAAATATGGAAGTCTATAGATTATACCATAAATACAATTTTAACTGTTGAGTCAGGTGCTATAAAGCAGCTTGATTTATTGAAGTAGATAATTTAAATTAATGTAATTCATTTCTTTCAATGTGGACTTCATAGTTGTCTTGTGTATTTTAGAGTAATAATATTCTACCTATATGACTGATAATTAATATCTTAATTAACTCAATGTTTGATATAATATTTTTCTTAAATTTAATTATCACAAGTTTATCTTATGTAATATATCTGTTGGGACTAAAACCTTACAATGTCTTTTTAAAAATAATAATTTAAACATTTTATAACATACTATTATTTGACTATTTATATTTGATGTTATTTTTTTTATGTGTGGATCTATAATGTTCTGTAGACAACTTAATGCTGGCCAAGAATACATTTTGGTTTGTATAACTTGTTAGATATTTTATAATTTATGCGACCTCAATTATCTATATTTACATCGGGTACCTATACAATTTATCTAGAATGGCTATTAAATTTTTTAAGAAAAGTGAATCTTAATAATTTTAATAAATTATTATAATCAGTGATAGAAATGTTTCAAAATTAAAAACGGGATAATTTATGGTGTTTATGCCTCTATTATACTAACATATATTTATTTTATTTAAGACTAAGATACTTACTTGGATAGTATTTATAAATGAGGGATGACAAATGTGAACTAAACAAATTTTGTTAGATAATTATCCTCATTTGGGGATTAGTTCATCTTGTTTCTAGCGTGCTCATGACAGATTTTGAAATTAAAAATAAAAGACTACAAGCAAAAAATGTACAACATTTAATTAAAAGATTACCTTATAAAATTATTATATTTAATCAATAGGTTATATTTTAGAGATATCGCACATCATTATGTTAAAAATGTATGTTTTACAAATGAATACCATTTTATAATTGCTAATTCTGTATGATAAAATGGATTAACATATTTTATTTATTAAAATAATATACCTATTAATGTGACTACTTAAGGATTAAATCTTTGTGAAAATTTTCATGCACCCACCAGTTTCTCTCACTTTCACCACTAATAATTATAATTTATTAACAATTATAGAGATTATTTCTAGTTTGTTAAATATAATTAATGTTTATTATTTAAACAATTATTTAGTAATTTAAGAATTATTGTTTCAGAAAAAACATCAAGTAGAATGATTAAAAACACTGAACAACAATAATAATAATACTAATAATGGATTCTGAAATTAATAAGAATGTGCAAAAGCAAAGTCAACTCTCTGAGCAAATTGAGAAGTTGTTGGCTGAAAAGAAAATATTAGAAGACAAAATTTCTGTGCTTAATGAATGTTTGTCTTTAGAAAAAGTACAAAAAAAAATTTTTCAGCTGGAGAACAAACAAAAAATATTGACAACTTTAGAGAGTATGGTTAATAGTCTGAAAGTTGAAATTAAACCATTGGATTATTTAAAACAACTATTATCTAGAGAACTTATGGTTTCTACACTACCTTCTAATGATTGCAATATTGAAGAACAAACAATTATTAAAAGTCCAGTGTCAACTGCAAATAGTGAATGTGCTATTGAAACATTGGATTCTTCTTTAAGTAATGTTAGCTCAGAGGAGAGTGTTATGGTTTTATCAGAATATGATGTTCTTTCGGATGAAGAACATTCTAATAATGATATGGAAGAAACTGTTGAGAATAAAGTTATATATGACGAGGCACTACAAATGGCGTCTAGTGTGCATTTACCAGTTAAAACATCAACTATAGATATTGAATCCATATTACCTCCATTTCATCAAACCAATGAAGTTAATTTTGTACAATCTACCTCGAAAGATATGGCTACATTGATGAATTCTAATAGTAAGAGTAAAGAACTATTAGAGATGTACATTACAGTGAATAAGGAAGATTTTCAAAATTATGAAGAAAATGTCTGTACCTAAATTTTTATAATAATATTACTTTTTTATAAAAAAAATAAATAAATTAATTTGTCGCTTGGAGTATTATGATATGTGTATTGTACAACAGGTTTCAAATTAAAAAGTAAAACGCGACTGATCAAAATATATCAAGAAATAAATGAAGAAAAATATAGAGATAAAATTTTACAAATTGGTTGAATTTTTAATTTGAAACCAGTAGTACAATACACATATCTTAATACTTCGGGTGACGCATTAATTAATTAACTTATTTATTTATTTATATATGAATTTAAACCATTTAATAATTTTGTTTTTACTTTATTATTTTATTAGTTATATAAAAAATTAAACCACATACAATTTGTTTTAATTAAACAAAATAAGTTTTAATATCACCATATATATAATTATTTTTTCATTTTTTATAGAAAGAAAATGAATTGGATTGCAATAATGGAAAAATTGAATCAACAATACAACAAACAGATCAATTATCTATATTTGATAAAGAACCATTAGATATAAAGGAATATAATAATTTTTCAAAATCAATTAATGTTTCGTGGGTGAAAATTGATACAAATGAATCATTTGAATGTCCAATGGAAAATGAAACGCAAGTTCAAGTAATTATTGGGTTGTAAAAATAATTATAATAATTTATTTGATAGGGTTATTTTTATTAATATTGTAATAAATATTAATTTCATTTGTTTGTTGCTTTTAGGATAATTTAATACCAAAAGTAAACAGAGATGTAGAATATAGTGTGCATAACGTTCAGTTGTGTAGCCAGCAATCTGAATCCAAAGACATGTTTGAAATTAAGAATATTGAAAATGTTAATAATTTTGAAAATAAAACTCACAACTTATTTAATTTGAACAATGCTACAGAAGAAAAATTTGAGATAATCTCATTGCTGCCAGACACTAAAAATTCTTGTGCGCTAAAGGAATGTGATCAAAAACAAGGAAAATTGGATGTAGAAGTACATATGCAAAATTATCAGTCATGTAGCTACCAGTCTGGATCAAAAAACAATAGTAATATTAATTTAAAAAATGTTTGCAATAAATTAGAGTACAATTATACAAATATAAATCCTAATAATTCAATTTGCTCTACTGACATTTTAAAAAATACAAACGATAATGATTTATCAACCTGTATTAAAAACAATGAAAAATCCATACAACCATGCGGTGTAGGTGAATTTAATATTAGGGATTTGAATGCAGAATTATGGAATGGTATTCATCATGCTGGCTTTCAGAATTTGATGACTTCACAATTAGAATGTATATCCCATTTTATTAATGGATGTAATGTTTTTCTTCACTCATATCCTTGTGTTGGAAAATCTACAATATGTTTTATATCAGTGTTGCAAAAGATTGATACAACTCTCAATGTATGTCAAGCCATTATTCTAGTTCCAACATTACAATTATCATTGTCTACTTTAAAGGTATTAATTTAATAGTTAAAATTTTGGTGACCATTTTACTGTAGTTATTAAAATTAATACTTTTAGATGGTCAAATCATTCGGGAAATTCTTGAATGTTTCCACGAGTATTGGTGGTGCATATATTCCTAAAGTATCAGCAGTTGATCATGTGTTGATCTGTACACCACGTAATTTGTGTGACATGATTAGAAATAAATCACTGTGTAAAGATTTTATAAAAATATTTGTTATTGATGATGCTGACGAAATGTTAAAAATCAAGGGATTTTTTAATGAAATGAGACAAATATTACTGTTTCTTAACAATGATCCTCAGCTAATTATTACGTCAAGTTCAAAATTTGAGGAGATCTTAGATTTCTTTTCTTGCACAATGTCCAATCCTGAATACATCATAATGTCAGACGAAAGACCATCTTTGGATTGTATGCATTGTTTTTTTTATTATTAATTTAAATAATTATTGTAAATTAATTAGTGTAATGTTTATTTATAGCTATATTACAATATTATATTTGTTTATCTGAAGAATGGAAATTTGATGCTATCTGTGAACTTTATGATGTATTGAATTTAATGCATACTGTTGTTTATTGTAACACATGGAGTAAATCGCTAAAAGTAGTCAAACAAATGTGCGCTAAAACATATTCAGTGTTGGCAGTAAACAATGAGATGGATACTAATCAGAGGCGAGTCATACTACAACAGTTTCGATCAGGTTCTTGTAGAATGTTGGTTACCACTGAATTGTTGAGAGGTGAAGACTTTACAGATGCAATGTGGGTCATAAATTATGATCTCCCTAAAAATCCAAAAGACTATGTACGCAGAATTATGAGTTGTTTTGATCATACTGTGAAGGTAATAAATTTCATTGGCCCAAACGATATGACTATCAAGAAAAATATTGAAATTGTGTTTAATGTAGAAATGTTAAATTTCCCTCAGAATGTAACTAATTTAAATTTATCTAATTTAAATTCTTCTAATAATCCATTAGTTTATTAATTATAAATAATAAAATGTTGACAGTTATGAAATTATTATGAAGATACATGTATTTTATAATTAGGATCTGTTGATATTTTTGTTGATATGAAATTATATTTTTCACAGAAGATTTTCTATATCTTTTGATATATTCTAAATTTGTAAACATTTATTTTTTTGTCAAGTTAGTGATTTTCTAGATGTCCCATGAATTATTTTTTTACTAATTCCTTCAGTTCTATTAAGTACTTTTTGAAATGACAAGAAATATACCGCTATGAGATAAGATTTGAATAATTAATTATATGTGATGGCTTAAATGTTAAATTGACTTAAGAATAAATATTTATTTTATATAAAATGTTTTAAGTTATACAATTGTACAATTCCATTAAAAAAATGTAACAAAGTATTTTATCAATATTATAAATATACAACAATACTTTATTGTTTAATTATAATTATTTTTTGATACAATTATATAACATATCATATTGTTATTTTTCTTCATAATTTATATTTTTATAACTATCAATTATGTAAATTAAATAAGGCAAGTATTTGTTATTGTTATGTACTTATTTATTTAAATACTTAATCATACAAAGATTTTTTGACCTACTAAGTACAGGGTTTTATATTTTTAGTAATGGCCATAGAACTAATATTATTATATTGTTTATTATTATAAGAGTAAATGATGAAAAGATGAATATTTAACATAAACATATTTTATTTATTAAAACAGAATAATAAACTTGTGGTTATTATATTTTTGTTTTATTTTTTTTTTAATTTCTTAGAATACCTATTATAAATTTAAATAATTAATATTACTATGCAAATTAGATAATTGAATGAATTATATTCTTATTATCAAAAGCAATAGCATATATTAAGATAATATTATGTGAATATCACTTAAGTAATATTCACATAATATCACTCAAGTTGAAAAGGATAATAAAGTTTGTGTCTACATATAATATGTTGGTATGTAATTTAAATTTTATTTTTAAAACATGTGCTTTTCTACATTAGTTAGTCTTTTGATATAACTATATATAATACAAATGAATGACTTACCTTAGATTATAGCATATTATTATTATATCTGTTACATTTGTCTAGGTACCTCCAATAATTTGTTTAAGTTTCAGTTTTTAATGTTTTTATTGTAACTAAAACCAAAAAAAAATGTCTAAATGTAATTAAACTTAATATTCTTATTGATTGTTAAAGTAATGAAAGATTGTTATGCAGGAAATGAAGTTGTAGGATTCAGTTTTTCGAGTCTAAATTATATTATTGTAATTGTTTGTTATAAATTATTAATAACAATGTTTATATGAATATTATTTTTTTTTCAATGGACTTTTCTATCAGAATTTTTATCAAAGTTTACTCATAAAAAAATAAAAAAATTTAACTGAAAAATAGGTACATAAACTTTAAACAATTTTGTTAGTTTTTATTGATTTATAATATCACTAGATTGAGGCTTCCCTCCCAGATCCTCGACAAGGGAGCAGTTTTCTGAGGGCAGAAACAGAGAAAAGGAAAATACAAAAAAATGGAAAAGTATCCGATGTTAACAGTTTACAAGTTTACTTACTGCTGTTGGGAATATAGAAAGTTGTCTTGTAAAATATCTAGAGGTTAGTTCTTTTATGCGTACAACAAATTCTCCACTTTTCATTAATGTTAGTTGGGTAACTAAATGTTGACGTCAAAATACACTTTTAAGCAAAATACAATTATGCTTGATCTCATTTGACATATTTTTGAAGAAAGTACGCAAGGAATTTTCCGTTTTGCTTCTAAGTACCTTTCTTACTGAAAATATATAGTAATAAAGAAGTAAACAATGTCTAAATGTCAATTATTCGTACTCCATATTAAAATAATTATTTGTATTACATTAAAAACTTTATGTTTGACATAGAGGGGGGGTCTATCTAATTTGCTGAATTGCGGAACTGCTGAACTGGGCTACTTCACGGGCTACTTTAGCTCAAAAGTAAGTTGGGTTAGAATAATTAGAATACCCAGTCATATTTACTAGTACTCGAAAATAAAAAGTTGTTTAAATACGGTAGAATTGATCACATTTACAGTTTCATAATTTCTGGTTATGTTTTTACAGATATTTTAAGAGCAAATCAGTAGATTTACTGAACTGCCGCCGTACGTAACTCAACAAAATACTGAACTATGTTATAACAATTCCAATTTTCAACGGAAGCACTTCGTAGTGCGTGGCTCCAGTTCAGCAAATTAGGCACTTCCCATAGAAGGACAACTGCTGAATTAGGACAAAAGCTAATCAAAATTTTTTAATTTATCTATTTATTCGTGTTGTCCTATTGCGTAGACCGTTAACAGATTTTAATAAATAGGTATCAACAATAAAATAACAATAGTAGTACCAATAATAGTACCTACTATTTACCAATAATTCTTTTGTGTGGTCTTTAAACGTGTTGACGTGTAGTGTTTAGAAGTTATTTTTTGTTTTGCGTAAAACACTCAGGTTTGCCATAGATAAGGTAGAAAGGTAATCGGTCTTTGAGAGACAATTTTTCTAAAATATAATGTACACCAAATTTCGCGTAAACCGGGTTTTATACTAACGTGAAACGGGATCGGTAAAAACTCGGTTAAGCGGTACATTTGTCTAGAGCGGTTATTAAACGTGAAAACGGGAAGCAAAACGGCCATAGGAATAAAAAAAACTTGTTGGAAAATGAACGAAGAAAGGATAGGATGTACATAGGATATAGGATTAATACTGGACACTTAATTTAGAATATGACTATAGGATGCGATTTCGAATCTGGTTACACACTTATACTGTACTGTCAGATAGGTAACTAAACATCGTAAACATTTACATAAAAAAAAAAAGTGTCAACAAATTAGAAAATATTTATTGAAACCATTATCGGATTAGATTCGAAAACGCATTTTGAACAACGGAAAAAAAAACCGCCCATAATTAATATTCTGCCGAATAACAAAAATTTAAAAATGCGGCGTCGTTCAGATATTCATTATATAGTTGATTATAGGCAGTCTCCCGATCGGTAGCAGGGGTGTATTATAGTAACGTTAACACAGAACCGACACTGGTGCTGTCGGTTAACCGGAAAGAATAAAAAAAAGTCTCCTAATGAAAAGTTAATAGGTGAAAAAGTGAGATATTATTTTACTCCCATATTCCTCCATGGGGGACGCCGTGCATCTCGCTAAAAAAAAATTATGTTGGTGTCTCGCGGTCGGCGGGACAAAAAAAACTGTACGATCAATGACGGAAGGGCTAATAGGCCACTATCGGGTGGTCTGCGCCATAGACAAGTGCCTACAGCGATTAAAAACATCTTGGTACCTTTTAAGCGGTTTACCGCTTTTCGCTTTCCGAAAAATATTACGTAGAACAGCGAACCGTGGCACATGAGTATACAAGTACGTCAGCAAAACACCCAAATCGCACTATCTACTGGCGCGTTTTCCGCCGGCGTCGGCCATATTGCATCTGGTATAAAAGCACACGGACAAATATGGACCGCGCTTTCCGTACTATCGACGTATCAATAATCACGGGGACAAATATATCATCAATATTAAGGCGGATTAATATTAATTTTATATTATTAGTCCACCTTGATTAATATATCATTCCCGTGATAAGTCATTATTTTTTCAAATTAACCGTCATTTGTCACAGATCTTTGAAATAATCATAGACACAAATTATTCGGAAAATTGGAAATAACATTGGACGACAGAAACAAAAACGTAAATTCCGTTAATATTTTCTTAATTAATTCTGAACATTTACTATGGAAACATAATTTATTTTAACAGTGTTAATATCATTAATCATGTATTAATGTCTAATATACTTCTAAAGTTTACTTTTTAATTTTTATTATTAAAATTTTTTTGGAAATTCAGTTCGAAACACCTATATAATATAATTGTAATAATCTATTAAATTATTAATACGATCATAATGTACAATTAAAAATGCGATATTATTAAGTTGAATTTTTACTCGTTCTTAAAGTAAATGATTATCGTATTCTTTGTTGTAGTTGAATAATAGTAATGTTATTATGATGTAATCTTATTTTAAAATAGTTGTGTAGTGAAAGTTTTATTAGTTGTAATTAATCATTGTCTAATGGAAATTGGTCCAGTAAAATGTGTTCGGAGATTTCATTAAAAATATCGTTTATCGTCAATGATTACATGCATGCTACAAACTCATTAATGCATGTTTCGCGCCGTGCATTTTTTCTCAGAACAGTATATTTCATATTTTATTATATTATATTATTTTGTCAATAGGTTTACGTACGTGTATGCCAGCGGCGGCCATGTTTTATGCACACTATCATCTTACTGATAAGCTGATATGTCTGTATATATTTTATGCCATGGCTATGAAGTGAACTGATTTACTGATATCGAAGTTCCAGAGAACTTCTTTTACCGAGGTTAGGTTATCTGTAACGTTTTCTCGTTATCTTGCGTGTAGTGTGAAGTTGTGTTCATGAATCTCGACTATTGACCGGATATTTATTATTATTTTGTCTGTAGTTGCGTTTTTGATTTTCTCAATATTTTCCACTGTTATTTAATAGTATTTGTCAAATTTCTTCCAACATCCACAAGTTTATGGTTAAAATGAATAATAATTTTACATTTGTATGTGTCAAATATCGTTCGGTTGTAAGAGATCCAATTCTGTAAGTGTATTGATTATATAATATTACCTACTTGTGAGAATTCATATTGTATTTTATAATATATTTTATGTGGTATTAAACATTTATGTTGTTGTTCTGGTCCGTTCATTGTTATACTTAAAGTGACCAATTTATTTGTATTTTATAAAAAACAATGAATTTTAAATTAGGTTTCAAATTTACAGACATATGTATAAGTATGACGGTCTAGACGGAATTTTCACTTCTACGGCTGGGAGGCATAGTTTACTCAAACAGATCAAGAGAAATAGACTTGTATATTATAGAATTGTGTGAGAGAACAACTTAACACTCGGCCACTTATAACACTCCGTTTATTATGTCGCCTGTTTCACTGAAACGAGTTCTCATACTGAATGTTCTATCTAAACGTTTTTTTTATGCAAATACAATATCAAGTAACAACGTGTTATAAAGATTATTCCAAACTTTGGATGTTACAGAATATATTGTTTGTGTTCCTTTTTTTGTGAAATCCGTATATATCTATTGTTGATTATTTTGTAAACTTTTAGAATGGTATTGTTTTAATTTCTTCTAAACATTTTTCGCGCTGTGTATAAATACTCGATCCATGACGTGAATGTAAATTATTTGAATTAAATTATAAATATTATATTGTCGATCTGGGTGGTGAACACATAGAGATTTTAGGTTAGGTTAGGGGTTATCAATATCAAATTTACTCTTATAATGTAATATATTAATTGCCCTTTTTGTCGGTCAACATCACTTATACTAAGGTTAGATAGATTAAGGTAGGTTAAGTAGATACTTGTATAGGGTTGCCAGAAATCTAGAATTTCATTCCGGAACGAATAGAAAAAATAGCAAATTAAATTAGATTTAAAATATCATTGAATCATATGAGTAGAAAACTATATTTTGGCTATATCCAACTACTTATAATCTATAAAATATATTAATATAATAATATATTTAAAACAAAAAATAAACTTTTATTTTATAAACTAAAACAATAAAACAAAAAATTTATTTATTTTTTATAGATTATAAATTTACTATAAAAATAACATATATGTTTTTTTTTTTTTTACTTATCAAAAAGATTTTTATAAAATAAGTAATAAGTAATAGGTAAGTATTCACTATTTAGATAAATCAGATTTTGTCATCATTGTTTTATCCCATATTCGTTAAAAATTGTATCATTATCTTTCGATTACAGTTACGTATTATTTGAAAAAACTTTGAAATTAAATAATATTAATTTCTCTTAAAACCGGGATATATTGACGTACTAACATTTATTTTCGGAACCCTGGTACACCAAGTCAATAACTAGTTACAGTCCTGGTTTTCCGGAATGTATGGCAACCCTATACTTGTAAGTACGGATGTATAGGATAGACTAATAGAATGTTAGATTAACTAGTAGTAAGTATTAGTATCATAGATAATAAAGTTCTTAATTATTTTTTTAGTATCTATAGCTGTTGATTTAATAGATCTGTTTGTTTTGAAAATGTGTCGCTGTACACGCTGTTAGTTTTAAAAATTGTTTGTTTAGTCATTTAATATGTTCACTATTCACACCAGCAAATATGACCGGGTGTTGGATTGGATTTTTAGTGTGTTTATCAGATTTATCAATTATTATAATTTACACACACGTACTATACAATTTGAATTTAACAAACATCATAAAATAGATTAAAAGATTATACCGTTATGCATTGATGAAATTTTCAAATTATTATTTTAATTATCATTTATTAGCAATAAAAGTTTTTAACGGAGCCATATTATGTCATGTGCTATAGTGTTATGATAATGGTACGGTTATTTGCAGATGTGTGATTGTTAGATTTGGATTAAAAATCTTACAATCTGACATCAAAATTTGGAAAATCTAAACTTGGAAACTTGGAATAATTATAACTATTGCAATATGCATTTAATGTATAGATATTTTTAAAAATAATAACACTTATAAACACAATCTTTACATAAAATCAACGGATTAGCTTTATAATGTCTTTCTGAATAATATAATATATTGAACTATAAGCCTTTTATTTTTTTTTTAATTCGTTATGGATTCAATAAAATATTTAGGTATGGTTTGGGTTCAAATAAAATATTATATGTTTGTTTTGGGTTCTGTTCGACCTTAAGAATTGAGGTTCATAACATCAATTGTTAATCAGTATCAAAATGTATACAGCGCCTCTTTTATTAGATAGGTACTTGTACATTTTTTTCAATTACATTATCTATCTAGTCTAATTATTTGAATTAATTTTTTAAAATATTTGAAAATTGAATTTAAGATGATAAGATAACAATTTGTTTATTTCAGATCAATGAATTGGTCCTACAGTAGCAGTCGTTTATGGGAAGCCTTTTAATATTCAAAAATGTAATTTGTTTATGGTAATAAAAGAGAAATAATGAATACAAAATATTGTTACATGAATATAATTATTCATATTGATGTTCCTTGACCTAACAAGGTATATAATGTCTTGATTGTTTGCATTGTAATTAATTGATTCAAAATGACTGAAGGATTTTCTAAACTTTCATATTGTACTATTTTGTCTACTAGTGTGCAATACTTTTCTAGTGTTGACATTTTTATAGTTGAACATATTTAATGATGTGTTTAAAGTATATTCATCAATTTTACTGTCAAATATATTTTGACTGTCTTGAATACAAGATAAAATTAAATTCCAAGAACTTGCAAGGTATATATTTGTAGATCATTCTAAGCTACCTAATAATTAAAACGATACAAGATTACATGTGCAGTTACTATAAAAGAAACATATAAACTAAATGTGGAACTATTATAAAAACATCAATTTTCACCTATTTTATTTTTAAGGTAAACTAGTTTATTTGTGTATTTAGATGATAATGAATTGATTTTGAATCTTATTTTTTTTTTTTTTAGAAAATCATTGAATTTTATTTGATGTTTGTAAGTAAGCCAAAAGAAAATTAAGATATTAATTATGGACAACTTGTACATAATTAATTATGTTTATCTGGCTCATGAAAACAATTTTTAATGGATCTTAGTAAGTTTAATCGCAATCTATAATTCTTTAAATGTTCTATTAAGATAACACATTTTTTGTTTTATTTTCATTTTCATAGATATGTAATATTCATACATTAAGCTACCTTGATGTTCGTTTAGATCAAATTGTATATGCTGACATTTCAAGAAACAATTATTAACTGGAAAGAAAACAAAAAGCTGGTATTATTGAAACTATTTAATAATTATAAGCTGTTTTGGCGATTAATATGTTCATCATTAGACATAGTTATATGATTTTGGTTTATAGTTTCACAAAAACAATATATCTTTGGTTTTTAAAAATAATATTAATTGATAATACAGGGTGTTCCATTTAAGTAGATACACTCATTATCTCTGAAAGGAGACTAGTAGTACATTCTTAAAACACCATATGATGTGCCATCACACAAATGATGCTTCACTACTCTCTCCCTACTCAAACAAAAGTAGAACATTATATCAATGGGTTGACTGAAATCAAAAATTTCAACACCAAAATCATTTTAAATAATACTAATTAGTTTTTGAAAATCAAAATTATGTAGTGGTTTTAACCCCACAAATAAGGGTGACAAAAAATAATAAATGTAAAATTGTAGAGCTGCTTATTTCTTAAATGTTGTGTAAAACAAATCTGAAAAAAGTTAATACTTTCAGAGATCATGAGTGTACTTTAATGGATCCCCTTGTATACATTTAAATTTTAAAGCATTTAATTCTTAGGTCTTAGCATTTATTTATTTTTTTTACTGTATAACGATTAAAATTCTTAAGAGTTGTCAATGTGCTACAATATCATTGCATTGTAATTGTTTAATAGTACTAAGCAATACTACTTATAGTTATAGTTTTAAGTCAAAGATTAAGTTAGCTGTAGTTTATAACTTAAATCAAAACCATAGTTGGGAATATTCTGCACAGCATAGTTAAAGAATTGATTAACATAAAAGAATACAGTGACGCAACCAGGGGGGGGGCGTTGGATGTTTGTACACCTTCCTATATCTATGCTTAAGTCTTATAAATGTGTTAAAAGACGAGTTTTTTTTTAATGTAACCATATTATACCTCTTTCAAAAAATCCTGGTTGTGTTAGGGATAGAATATGTAGATGGGTATCTAAAATAGGCTGTTGCATTTCTAAAGGTTGTGAGCCTTGGTAGATTACTACCAAGTCTATCTGGTGTACCCAAAGTTCGGTCCCGGCTGAGGCTGATTAGATACCCGTCTCTGTCCGGTGAATGTAGGTTTGGTACCAAAAAAATATTGCTTGACTAAATAAATTGGCCTAGAGAATGAATTATCTATTATTGGTATTGCATTTGCATTGTCTTTTTTTGATATTGTAGATACAATTACAACTTTGATTTTGTTAATTGTATTAGAGGAAAAAGCGTTGAAATAAATTAAACTCCAACTTGATTATACAAATAATTAATAGTTTCACTCAAAATTATTACAAGTTCAGTAATAGACTCCTCAAAAAATATACAAGGCCAATAAATAATACTCACAAAAATGTCTAAATTACAAATAATAGAGTGATGCAAAATTGCTCGCATTCGTTCGTGGTGGACTTGTCTGATTAGACAATGTTTCAGGCGACGTTATGTATGCTAATACTGTGCCCCCGCAACCCGTAGTTCTTAGTGACTACAATCTATATTTAGCTGCTGCCACCGGATTATGGTGACTGCCAAAATCAATAATAATACATGTTATTTTAATATACATATATTCAAACTACGTTTTATGTCTACACTAGTTATTGGTCCATATTTAAAACAATTTAATAAAGTAGGCGTTATATCTAAATTAATATTTGCTTTACCTGACTTGACTTCATAGTAAGACTTTAAAGATTTATACTCTTCATTTTTTCCAATTACATACATACATTTTTCTTTAATTTTTTTCCCATTTGGACCAGGAATATTTGTTAAAATATCTTCAATTTTTTTAAAAATATCCATGCTTTTCAGTAGTTCACTATTAGATTCTTCTAAATTTTAAAGAATCATGGATAACTCGAATAAATGTAATTTTATGAATGCCAAACCATATTTGACTGCATTATTTTGTATAAGCTGTTTCAGCTTTTCGACACTTTTAGCATCATCTGTTAAACTTTCAATCACGTTTTTAAACTTCAAAATTATTTGCATGAAAAAGTAAAGTATTTAACCATGTTCCCCATCTTGTAATAATTGGTTCGGGTGGTAAAGGTATATCTGGCATTTCTTTTCTGTATTTATCTATTCTCTGTGGTGCTTTTAGAGAAGCTTTTTTTCCTGAAATAACAAAATAAGTTACATATGTATTTAAATTTTAAATAGGTACTTAATATATTACCATTGTTAATAAATTGATTAATGTTGGTATACAATTCTCGAATTTTCTCTAGAACTTGATTAACTGTGTGCACCATGTATGTAATATTAATTAATTTTGGGAAAAATATTTTTAATGCTGGTGGTTTGAAGTACCAGTATCACTAATAAAAAGTAATACTTTTTGTTCAATGCCAGGAAATATTTTTAATGAGGAATTAATAAACTTACAATTAGTTTCATAATTGGTGGATTCTAGTTCTTTACATGCAACTAAATATGATTTACTAGGCGTCCCATCTAATTTACCAGTTAATTATTATTATTATTATTTCGTATGGCTTAGATAAATATTACATTCAATTCACAGTTTAACATAGGTAACATAGTATAAAATAGATATAAATATAAAATAAGAANAATATGTTGACTAGTAATGGATGTGTGAGATACGTAAGTCTTCTATTAGATTTGTATGTCCAAGGAGTTCAACCATTGCACTGCGCCTATTGTGGCTCTGTGTAGCTCTTTCATTCCTCCTTGTAGTCGTCGAGTATTACAGTCATCAGCAATGTGTATAGCAGTTTGCTTTTCATAGCCGCAGTCACATCCTGGTGTAGGCCCGAGTCCCCATTTATGGAGCATGTGTCCTGTTTTTCCATGACCCGTTCGGAATCTATTTAATGCTACCCATTCCCTTCTCGGAAGGTCAGTGCCCGGTACTCCTACCACTGGGTCATTAATTAGGTTTATTTTGTCAGG